TTATTTTTACAAATAATTCAAGGAGATGAACATACCTAATATTCCTTCCTTCTCCTATTTTCCCCACAACAACAACCCTGTGAGATAGGTTGGGTTGAGAGAGAGTGACTGGCCCAATGTCACAGAGCTGGCTTTGATACCTAAAGCTGGATTAGAACTCATGGTCTCCCAGTTTCTAGTGTGGTGCCTTACTTAAGATGTTTCACTTCTCCTCAGAGCTGAAGAGACTTCGTGGATGAAAAGCGAAATGTCTTCAAAGAAAAATCAGAAAGTCCAGTTGCCTCTTGAAAAAAGCACCATTGGAAGGAGTGGGGAGATTTCTTTTAGTGCAGGAATGGCCATTTGAGTGAATTTATTTTATTTATTTATTACCCAACTCCCACATAGGTGACACTGAACATGAAAGAACAAACTGAAAAAAAACCCTGTTGGAATGTTCCCTCTCATCATCTAGATTCTAGAATGTTAATGTGGAATGATTGCATCTTACGATCATTAAGTTGAGGCACGTATGTAATGCAGACTGAATTTTATGACGTTTTTGCAGTGGTTAAATAAATCAGTGTGGCCATTAAGTGAATGCTGCAGTTGTTAAATGAATGCCACAGTCATAAATCTGAACCCTATCGGTGTTTTTTGCCAAAAGGCAAATAATGGCCCAAATTCATCCTCATGACCACAGGATGCTGCAACCAGTCATAAAGGCAAGCCAGATGCTGAGCACCTGAACTGCAATCACATTACCCTGGGTGGGTGGCACAGCATTTTACAACTGCCAGAAGTATTTTACACACTGTAAAGTTCCCATGTTGGGCCTGTTGTAATTTTGAATGGTTGTTAAGCGTCTGGTCATAAGTTGAGGACTACCTTTAGGCCTTAGTACTTTTTGTTATACAGTTTTTCAATGTAATTTTTGTCAATGATGCCAAGAAAGTTAAATAGTTAGTGTGTCCTTCTTTGTCCCCAATTTTTCCACATTTATCTTCCCTTTTGATTGTCTATGTCCCCCCCCCGACCATAAGTCAATTAGAACCTTTGGTTACCTTTTCCAAAAATCTTCAGGGCATCTTTTGTGCTTCTTTTTATTTTATTTATTTATTTATTTTTATTAAATTTGTATACCGCCCTTCTCCTGCTGGACTTTTAGTTCTTAGCCTCATTTTTTTCAGTTAGTTTGACCAAACCAAGTCATCTGGTATCTTTATTATAAGAAGTAGGCCATAAGCCAGCAGGTCAGAACTTACACAATTCATGGCGCCTGCTTAAAGTGTCTGAAAGTATTACTCTTCAGCCTGGCCTGAGGCAAACTATTACTCTTCCTTCTCATAAAATTTTAGAGACCCAATCCCAGCCCCTACCCCCAGTTTACAGACAATCAGACAGACAGACAGACAATCCATTAGCATGCTAGCTCTGCTTATAACAGGAGTAGAAGGAATTCAAAGGATATATGCCTCATTTTAAATACAGTTTAATTTTTGTGCAGCTACAATTGTGGTATGAAATAAGGACATATAAATGTGAAATTGGGAGAAAACCATAACCATAAACCTGGACTCTGAAAATCTGTGAGGGCAAATCTACCTTAGAACTATCAGACAATCCTATTTTCTCATAAAAGGTATGATTTTGCAGCCCAGGGACCTTAGATTTGGACTGTATAGAATTCATGGGAAAGACCTGTTTTGATCCACTAATGCAAACAAAATAAATAAATCATTTTTATATTTTATTTGAGGAATTGGTCACATTGGAGTTTGCTCAGCTTTTTGCTTTTCAGAGTGAAATTTGTTTGCCCAATTTTTTTACCTCAGTTCCTATTTTTAAAAAAAGAAAGGAAAAGGAATGAATTTGTTTTCCTGTTATATTCACTTAGCACTAGTTCTTTTTCAATTGAGGGAACATTTTGCAAATTGTTCATTGATGATGAAAAGCATCTTGCTTTCTCTCAGTGCTTATTCTCTTAGTAATATTGTTCCAACTGCCAATAAAATATAGTAAATCTCAGTTCTTTTAAATGCCTTGAATAATTGATGAGATTACTTGCAATAGACTGAATAGCACATTGGTTTTTATTACCTCAACAACTGTCTTCAGCCCATTTACAAGACTTTCCAGAAAGCTTTACTGAAATGCTGTTATAATTTAGGATTCAAATACTCCATGTCCATGACTGCTCCATTTCACCAGGTCCATAAACTGAACTGACCACATTGTCTGTCAGTATAAATTAAAGTTGCAAATATTTGTTTCTGTACTTTGCTAAAACAAATGTCACCTGGCAAATTCCTTCAGTGCCAAAAAATCAAATGCAAAATCAAGATAATAAAAATGAGAATGGAAATTAAAATTGGAAATTAAGCAAAGCATTGTGCTTCATAAATTAGGAATTGATAATTTTCTTTAATACTGGTAGACTTATTTAGTGACTGCTTCCTTTAGCTCAGTAACAGCCCTATTGGAAAAGTAACTTTGCAACCAGTCCTCATATTTATGACCTTTGCAAGTCTGCAAAGCAAAGGAAAGCTGAATAAGATCATAGTAGGCGTTTTACTTAGTGACCAGCTGGGGGTTGCTAAACAAGGACTACTCATATATGAATCTCCCTCCCTCCCTCCCTCCCTCCCTCCCTCTCTCTCCTCTCTCTCTCTCATTATATTATTTATGTCACATGTGCTGACTTTGTTTACATTGATTTTATTATAGGCACTGCTCAGATCCCATTATGGAGGTCCTCTTAATTGCAGAGATAATATTAAGTCCAAAACCAGAAGCATCTCATAAATGCCTACTTTTTGCTAAGTTCAGTTTATGTGCTTTTTCCTCTTACACTTTTAAAATGAGGAAAATGTCATAATCAGATGTACCATATCCAGTGTATGGTTCATTCTGGACATAACCTGCAGGGTGAAATTGGTAATTCAGCTTTGCCCTGGGTGACGTACTACCCAGAGTTTCCAATTCATGACCAGTTATTAGAGTCTTGAGTGGTTTATCTACCTAATCTAGTGTTTCCTCATTGTTCCACCATGTAGTTCCCTAGAGTCATATTCCTTATCTCATATGCCATAAAAATTGATTATGGGGCATACAACAGATCTTAACTAATCTCTCAGCAACATCACAAAATAAGGCAAACATTTAATCATTAGAAAGATCAAGTGATGTTATTGACCCAAGGTACCCCTTCATATTTTCCAGTATACTTGGAAATTGCAGGAACAATTATGCAGTTATGATATATTTATCAACTGGTTTACAATAGTATAGAATCCTTCAGTAGTAATCCCATTTTTATCATTTTGTATAACAGATACTGTCTAGGTATAGCAAATAATAGCAGCCAACGTTCAATAAAAGGCTATTGGACATTGGTATGGAACAATGATTGTTTCTGATGTAACCTTTTTCTCCTCTGCACTTAGTGAATTCAGTGTATTTATCATTTCTTATTTATTTGTCATTTAGAAACAATCTACATAGCTACTAGGGATCAAATACAGAGAGGAACAAATGTTTTAGACAGATTTCAAGTTGATGGTCTCTGAACCAAATGGTGATGGCTATATGGAAAACACTGGATTTTCCTAATCTACCACTCTCCTGATGTCTTACGTATATGTGCAGTCTTATAATTTACAACTAATATGGCCAAAGAAATTATAGGGATTGTGATGCTAATTACTTTGAAAGTTGCCTGTTGGGGAGGCCTGTTGTACAACATTGCACAATTGTTTTGTGTTCAGTATTTTGTGAAATACTTTAACTCATAAACTCAAAAACAATGTTGCCTTTGGGCTTCCTTATCACCATTATAATTTCTAGGTGAGGAAGACATGGCTGTATGACTTCAATGTTGGAATTTTTAGAGGAGTGAAATCAAGTGAAGTTGCTTTCTATTATCTAAATCTATCAATTACCTTTCGGCAGTGTTGAGTTTGACTATTTCCCTAATATAGTTAAACTTTTCTTGAAAATAATAGTGCATCAGCTTCATTTAAAATGCTTATTTTATCAGTGATTTTTTAAAAAATACTGCTATTAGTAATTAGGACTGTCTGTTCTGAAACATATTATGACACAGCAAATGGCTTGTCTTAGTTGGTCAAAGGTCTCAGAAAATAAGTGAATTTCCAAAAGGGTCAAACTTGCAGTGTGGGTTATAAGTTAAATCAACCAGCTAGAGCTAGATGGTAACCAACAGTCTATGGCAAAGTTTAGACAGATTCAAGATTTCCAAGTTTCTGCTTGTAGTTAGAAGATAAGCAGTTTCACTTAACAAGTCTATGGAAATTCTCAATCATCCAGGTCATGGTGCTTTTCTAAAAGGAAACTGGACTTTCTTGTTTTTTTCCTTGAAAATGTTTCGATTCTTATCCAAGAAGCTTCTGAAGAAGCTTTTTGGATGAGAAGTGAAATCTTTTCAAGGGAACAACCAAGAAAGTCCAGTTGTCTGATGGAAAAGTACCTTTGGGACTTTGCTTAACATATTCCAAGGCACAAGTGAGTTTAATTCAACATAACAAATGGTTGATTGCAAATTAATCTTTTAAAGAATTATTATCAGTCAAATTTGACCATGTCTTCAACGTGTTACAGTCCCTTGACAGACCTGGTATTTATCCAAATAAAAGAAGACAAGTAAAAACAAAGTCTCCATAAATGGTAAAATGGTTCTTTGCTTGGATTGGATTGGCTGGTCTGGACCACACAATCAGGCTCAAATCCATTATTGGTTCTTTCCTTGATGGGCATTTACCTCTTATAATACCACACATCCACAGGTGGTTGATTACAATGATTAAAGAAGTTTTTGATGATTCTCTTTTATCAAACTAATCAGAACAAAATAATGAAATGCATACCAGGTTCTCTGCTTGAAACCATTTCACTAAGGATCTTTATCTTATTCAAAAATGCCAACTAATGCACTACAACTTAATTATAGATTATTTACACATATCAAATAAGAGAATGTGATAAATAATATCAGTCCAAAATGTCAGCGTGAACCCTGCACTTAGTAATTTTAAACTGCAAGTACAATTTTCTGCCTGGGGAAATAGATTGTTTAGCAATAAATTTTGCTGTTTATGATTTCTTTCACTTATCTCATACACAGAACATTCTTTAATTTTGTGTGAGAGAATGTGTTTGTTTACTTCAAAAAGTAAACAGAATTCCTGTTAACCAGCATTTCTGGCTTCTTAAGGGAATCAGCTCGACCAAGACACTACACAGAGGGCAGAAAAGGTGAGTCATGGATCTTTCTGCTGGAAAACATACTGAGAATTATTTATATTATGCATATAGTGTATTATACTCTTATAAAATCACTCATGTCTCAGAGTTGGGCTCTAGGCAGGTCTAAATAAAGTGTCAGTCTTATGATGTGAGTCAGTTACTCCCGCGGACATGACAAGGATTAGTTCAGCCCTCTGTTCATTGGATCCAGTTCTCTCTTGGGTTATTAAGGCAGTCAAGGAAGTGATCTGTAGCTTGGCACATGCTATAAAGTTGGCCTCATTGAGAGAAAGAGTGACATCTTCAGTGTTGAAGGAGGTACTGGTGCATACTTTCCTCAGGATTTTTCTGATCCAGAGACTTCAGACAACAGCTGTTCTGTTGCTAACCTTCCCTTTGCTCAGAAAATGGTTGCTCTGAAATTGCAGAGAACTTTGGAATAAACAGGATTAAATCTGCACTGATGAAGACATCAGTGCTATGGAGGTGACAGGCTTTACTCTGCTGATGCAAAGGGGCAGTGTGACCCACTTCAACAAAGCAATTTGTCTCTCCTCAACTCAGTAAAGCAATTTGTTTCTCCTCAGTTCATTTCATCCTTTAAAAGAAAATCCCTAGATAAATTGATTCCAAATAGGATGATTTTGTGTGAGAAGGAACTGCAGCACTTGCTGAGGGAGTTGGTCAGTTCATACTGCAGGAGTCCCAATTTGTTGAAATTCCCTCTTGGCCTATGTTGCAAAGAAGTCTGAAAGTTAACAGAAGAGCAACATAAATTTTTTGCTTTCTTCTTATAAGCAAGGGGGTTCACTATGCTACATGCAGCAGTTTTGAAAGGATGCTTTGCTCAAAACATCCTTTGAAATTTGCTGACATGGAAAACTTAGCAGAGGTTTCAGGGTGTAATATGGGTTGCAAATGGCCAAATAAAATGTGCAATTTTGAAAAAGGAATTTAAGATATCCCATCAGAGTATTCCTCTACAGAACAGAAAATAAAATAAACAAAACAATATTCAGAGTGATTGTATATTTAATAGTCCCAGAGCATGCAGACTAAACTTTGTTACCAAACTCCTTCTCTCACAATTGAACATCTACTGTAAATGAAGTACAATGATTTCCCTTCCATGCATTATCCAGGTTTGACCTGAAACACAGTCAACCAAATGACTTAGTCAGACGTTCTACAGCCAATCATGCAGAGAGTTAAAACCAAACAATATAAAAAGGTAATAATAGAAAGCAAAGGAGCTGATAAATTGTGTTTAATTGTGGTGATATAAAATTACATAAGTTTTTAATTTGGAAAACATTTGAAAATCTGATTTGAACAAATGCAACTGTCAGCCCTGGAGGCCATTTTTTCTTTTGGATCTTCAGGGTTGCCACACTTAGTCTGTGGGAAACTGGGAGGGGGATTTGCATGGAGTTGTTAGAAGTATTTAGCCATAACAACATTATTTTATCTGAGAGTCAAGGACGTTCAGCCTGCACTTGGAGTGGCGTAACTGGGAGGCATCTCCGGTTGGGATGGTGGATTGATTGGACCATGTGATGGACATGTGGGTGCAGGGGAAGGGACTCCGACCTTCATTTGAGTGGGGAAAAACCGGGAGCTTTCAGATTCGGGTTTTCCCAGATGTGCCAATATGACATATTGGCACATCTCATATTTATCATAATAACTCATATTTATCTCTAATAAAATGGAACTTTGAGGAACTGCTGGCCTTGGGGTCTTCATTGGTTGGGGATGTTACTTGGAACCCTGACAGCAACAACAATTGGAATGAGAATGGCTAGAACAAGAATAAAACATCAAGAGGGCACCCAGTGGAGAAGACTTAAATCTAAACAGCTAAAAGCACTACTAAACCAGAAGTATTTTCTCCTCATCACTATCAATTGGATCCCAAAGGTAATGATATTTTTTCACATTTTGTATTATGTTTATGGTGAATCTTACTTGTAAGAGAGACTCTTGTGAGTTGTGTTTGTATTATATTTAAAGGCAGAAACAAATAGCATTTGAACAGTGGATCACTCAGGTCTAAGGCTCAAACTGAAATACAAAACTTTAAAGAAAAGCTTAAACATCAGAAAGCTAATTGCAAATAATCTCTAGAGAGGTTAAATGAAAGACATTTCTATAGTATATAGAATGATAATACTTTGACCTAAGCCATGTCAGAAGTATGTATATTAACGAGGATCTGGGTCCGAGGGAGACCACTGTGCCTCAGATAGCCGGATGTGAGTCCCTCCTTGTGAGGTGGGGCTGTGGGGTTCAGATGGGCTTGCTGCTTACATACCTGGCTCCCTGCCGCGTGGCAACAGCCCTACCTGAGCCACTCGATGTGATAGCCACGGTGGCAGTAGATACACCCAGGCTTTTAGTCATGGGTGATTTCAACTTGCCATCCGTTGGTGAAACGTCTAAGGTGGCTCAGGAGTTCATGGCTTCCATGACGGCCATGGACCTGACCCAGTTCATGGCCCTACTCACAGGGGAGGTCACACTCTGGACTTGATTTTTGTCTCTGGCCAGTGGTTGAGTGGTCTTGTTATAGGGGATATAGACATGGAACCCTTGTCATGGACCGACCACTCACTCCTTCGCCTAGATCTTCGAACCGTGACCCCTCGCCGCAGGGAGGTGGACCCAATTAGATGGATCCGCCCCAGGCGCCTGATGGATCCTGATAGGTTCCAGACGGAGCTTGGGCCATTTCCTGAGGATCTAGCACATGACTTGGCCGAGGACCTGGTAGCCGCCTGGGATCGGGCGGCTGGTGGGGCCTTAGACCGAGTCGTGCCTTTGGGGCCTCTGACCCGGTGCCGATCCTGTGCGGCTCCTTGTTTTACTGAGGAGCTGAGGGAAATGAAGCACCGGAAAAGACGCCTGGAGAGCGGTTGGAGGGCCAGTCTCGCTGAATCTGATTGAACACTGGTAAGGTCGCATATTAAGGCCTACCTAGTGGCGATAAAGATGGCAAAGTTTAACTACTTTTCTGCCTCTATTGCGTCATCAGGGAATCATCTGGCCACCCTGTTTAGGGTGACCTGCTCCCTGCTCCATCCGGGAGTGCGGGAGGATCCTTTAGAAGGCAGGGCGGAGGATTTCAGACAATACCTGTATGACAAAATCGCTCAAATCTGGGGGGATTTGGACTCTGACTGGGTAGATCAGGGCAGGGTGATGAGGAATAGTCTTGAGAATGTTACCTGGGAGAAGTTTGATGCTGTGACTCCCGATGATGTGGACAGGATTTTGGGGAGATTTAGTGCGGCCACATGTTTACTGGACCCGTGTCCCTCCTGGTTGGTACTGGCTTCCCGGGAGGTTAAATGAGGCTGGCTCCAGGGCGTTATTAATGCTTCGTTGAGTGAGGGTCACTTCCCCGCTGCCCTGAAAGAGGCGGTGGTGAGGCCTCTCCTCAAGAAGCTGTCCCTGGATCCGGCAATATTGGCCAACTACCGTCCTGTCTCCAACCTTCGCTTTATGGCGAAGGTTGTTGATAGTGTGGTCGCGCAACAGTTTCCACAATTCCTGGAGGAAACATCTTATCTAGATCCATTCCAGTCGGGTTTCAGGTCTGGGCACAGCACGGAAACGGCATTGGTTGCGTTGGTTGATGATCTCTGGAGGGTTCGGGACAGGGGTTGTTCCTCTGTTCTGGTCCTGTTAGATCTCTCAGTGGCTTTTGATACCATCGACCATGGTATCATGCTGCACCGTCTGGAAGAGTTGGAGGTGGGAGGCACCATGTTGCGGTGGTTCTCCTCCTTTCTCTCCAACCAGTCGCAGTTTGTGTTGGCAGGGGGGCAGAGGTTGACCTCGAGGCCTCTCATCTGTGGAGTGCCACAGGGATCGGTCCTCTCACCCCTTCTATTCAACATTTATGTGAAGCCGCTGGGTGAGATCATCCATGGCTTCGGGGTGAGATACCATCAGTACGCTGATGACACCCAGCTGTACATCTCCACCCCAGGCCACCCCAACGATGCCCTTGAAGTGATGTCCCAGTGCCTGGAGGCTGTGCGGATCTGGATGGGGAGGAACAGGCTCAAACTCAACCCTTCCAAGACAGAGTGGCTGTGGCTCCCAGCATCCCAATATAGTCAGTTGACTCCATCACTGACTATTGGGGGTGAGTCTTTGGCCCGCACTGAAAGGGCTCACAATCTGGGAGTCCTCCTGGATATGCAGCTGTCCTTGGAGGAACATCTGATGGCTGTAACCAGGGGGACCTTTTGTCAGGTTCGCCTGATTCGCCAGTTGCAGCCCTTTCTTGATCGGGATTCCTTGTGCACAGTCACTCACGCCGTCACCTCTCGCCTTGATTACTGCAACACTCTCTACATGGGGCTCCCCTTGAAGAGCACCCGGAGGCTCCAACTGGTCCAGAATGCAGCAGCGCGGGTAGTGATGGGAGCAAAATGGCGCTCCCATGTAACACCGCTCCTGCGCGAGCTGCACTGGCTCCTGGTGGTCTTCTGGGTGCACTTCAAGGTGTTGGTCATCACCTTTAAAGCGCTTCATGGCATAGGGCCTAGCTATCTGTGAGACCGCCTGCTGCTACCGACGACCTCCCATCGACCTGTGTGCTCCCACAGAGAGGGCCTCCTCAGGGTGCCATCAGCCAAACAATGTAGGCTGGTGACCCCCAGGGGGAGGGCCTTCTCTGTGGGGGCTCCTACCCTCTGGAATCAGTTGCCCCCTGAGATAAGGAGAATCCATGACCTCAGTGCCTTCCGTCGTGCCTTTAAAACCCATCTTTTCCAGCAAGCCGGGCTGGCTTAAGAAGAAATTTTTTAAATTCTTTTAATCGGTTTGTGATTTCTTAAATTCTGGGCCAAATTTATATATATATTAACTGTTTTTAATATTTGTATTCTATGTTCTTATTTTGGCTGTACACTGCCCTGAGTCCTCAGGGAGAAGGGCAGTATATAAATTGGAAATTAAATTAAATTAAATTAAATTAAATTAAATTAAATTAATAAATGTAGAAGATATTATTAGTAACTTTTAATATAATTGATAGATCAAAAAAGCTTTACACAACCATAGTCAGTTTAGTAATAGATGTATCTATGACTAAATATTAAATAACAGAGGGACAAAGTAGTAGTACAAGATGAAGATGGAATTGGAGAAAAGTGTTTATTTTATCATACTATTTATTTTTAAAATTATAAACTTGGATTTTGCATACATGGAGATATTCTAGGCTGTTATTTCCAAAATTATATGCATGTCAACTTCCAGTTTGCATATATGTAATATAACACATTTTGATAGCTATATTCCTGTCTTTCATTGTAAATCATCCAACTTCATTCTAAAACTACTACTGATAAGTGAAAATGAAGCCAAGCATGGATTCATATACTGTTATAAGTATGATTTGCTCCATTTTCAGATTTGCATTCTAAATTGGTATATGAATTCAGTGGACATAGTTGGGACACATGAACTTATTAGATACTTGATTTTATTTAAACATGCAAGGGTTATTTTTTACTTTGGAAATCCATTTAATAGGAATAAACTTACAAGAGTGATTGTTGTACACAGAGAAGACCAACCAAAACCTTATTCTTCTGCCTCCTAGATATGAAAACAATGCAAGGTTCAAGATCCTACCTGATTAAAGTAATTAATGAATTAATAGTTTTGATAACTCTTTTGCACAACTGCTCTGGTCAAATACATTCATTTGGTATTGAATCAACATAAGACATTAGATGTATCTTATCAAGGAACATGCATGCAATATATTTCTTCTCCCACATTAAATACCCAGTTTGGTTGAACACTACTTTTGAAACTATGTTTTAAATCTTGGTCTCAAGTCAAGCTGTTCTGATCAGACTTATTCCAACATGACTGGGACAGCAGAACTTATGTTTAGCACATGACACCAAAACCACTACAAGTGAAACATACTTACTGATATCAAAGGATATTGTTATACACGTTTCAAATTTTTTAAAAAAATGTGAGATATATAATTGTTCCACTGTTCATTTCCTGTATATCATCAAGCAGCAGTAAGATCTGGATAAGAATTCATGTTCAACTTAATTTAACTCAAATAAGTTTATGAAAAAAAAGAAGAATCCTGATAAATTCTGCCAAGAAAAACACCAAGTATTTGCCTTGTGTTCATCCCAGCTTTCCACAAAATGGCTTTATCTTGAGATTAAGTTGGCAGTTGTGACAGAACTAGGGCAATTTTAATGTTGAGAACATACCACACACACACACACACACACACTCATATATACATACACAGTACACACACACATACATATAGACATCATTTTGAACCTAGCCTTTTGATCACATATCTGCATTAGCAAATAAATGACAGGTCTATACAGTAATCACAGGCAAAGCCCCACCAAGAACAATCTTATTTGTTTTCACAATCTCTCTTATACAAAAGATCTCTAGTGATCAAACCACCTGCTTCTCTCGGTGTCTTTTCCTCCAAATGTTTAAACAATTGGAACAGATAAGCAATTTAGCCTACTTCCCATTATAGTATTAACACAAAGCCAGGTAGCCTTACATTTACCAGGCAAATAATTAGTCACCAAACAATGAAAAAAGGAATCCCATCATCACCTTAAGTCACCTGTCAAACACATAACCATTTGTATCTTTTAAGACATTGCCTGTTTGCTGTGTGGGCCAAGATTTGGTTGTGTTTTCATCATTGCCTTCCAATCCAGACTCAAAAAAAAAAAAAAAAAAGGAAAGAAAGAAAGAAAGAAAAGAAAAGGGGGAAAAAAAGGAACAATCACAGTCCTGTTGTTGCTTTGACTTGAAAGTCCATTTTAAAGAGAGCATTAGAAAATGCTTTCTTGTGGTTGACAGATCAGATTACCACAATTAAAGTCAAAGGTGTGGTGATATTTATCCTGCATGTTATGACACATGAAAGAAAATGATTCAGGGAAGAAAAATAATTACACATTAATTTGTGTTTGGCAGCTGTCTTGGCCCACAAACTAGAGATAAAAGGTATTCTTGTTCAGCAGACTCTTTCTGTTCTTAGCAGGCTTGTGTTGTAAGATGCTTTGAGAAGAGGGTTGAATGTTTGCCATCGTACTTTTTAAAATCAATTTTCTCCTCCTTTTCTCTAAGATTAGGCTCTGCCAGAGATAAATCCTAAATTAAGGGGATTTTTCCTCAATTCAAACTCTTATGAACCAGAAGGTTTATGGGACCTTGAGATTAAAAAAAAAAGGGGGGGGACCCTCCTCCAGGCCTCTTCAGTTATAGCTTTTTCATTTCTGGAAGTATACATGAAATTGTTTCCTGTTAACCCTTTCATTATATGGTTGTGAACCATCTAGAATTATTATATGAGATAGATGGCCATATAATTCTTGTACATATATACATTCATACATGAACTTGAATGAGAAACATTTGCTTTTCTGGAATCCTACATCCCTACAAAATGCTATGAAAGCTTGCCTTTGTTACTGAAGGAATTTAATACAACTCAATTTTTTTTTAATTTCCATGCTTTTTTGTTAAACATTGGTGATAGACTATAGAATAAACACCTGAAAGAGGAATTTAATGTCCTTGTTACAGATTCACTGTTTAAAAATTCTGTATAGATCCATTATAAATTCCAGAGTCACTTTGGATAGAGAATTGGGCAGCATATAAAATTAAGTAAATAACGTATTATTAAATTCATATGCCACCCATCTCACTGATACAATGACTCTGGATGGCTTACAATATAATTTTAAAAAATGCTAAAACAACTAAAATTACAAATATTGAATGGAAAAGTTAAAAGTCAAAAACCAAGATGATCGGCAGCCTGGGAATAAAAATCTTCTCTACCTGGTCAGCCACTTCCAACATAGCAGGTTGCTGTCGGGCCGTAGGCCAAGCGGCAGAGCCAAATTTTTAGGTTCTTCCAGAAGGCCAGGAGTGTGGAGGCAGACCTCACTTCCAATAAAATACAGGTAAAAAGTGTTTGAAACTATGATAAATCTTCATCAATGACAGGACCATTCCTATCATTAGTCATGTTAAAGTGCATGTTCTGGATGTCATGAAAGGGCAACTTATTGATATTAATTAACTGCTTTGGGATTATTCTTGTGGCTGACAAGAAGGATTTGTGGGTTTCCTGCTTTTTGGCTGAGCTTCTGAGCACCTGACTTGAGAAAGGGGAACATCATGCACCTCAATCATAAGTGGAAAATACCTTAGAGCAATGAGAACATTTGAGATAAACAATAGTGTTTTCAAGGCAATTGAGATGGTCTCTAGGAAACTCTTCTTATATTTTACCTGTTTTTGTGGTGGCAATGACAGTGAATCCAAGGTCAGTACTTCTTTTAGGAAAGCTATAGAAAAGAGCTGAGTGGGAAGAGACAAGAGTAGCTCTCCTTTCCTTAATCTTTTGGGAGTACATGAAGAAACAGATCAAATCATTGCCTGCACCTTTCTAGATGGAGATGCAGATACCAGTGTAGTTTGTATGTCAGATCAAGCAGCTGCCTTTTCTTCAAAGGAAATCAATGTGTCAAGAGAACATTATAATAATCAAGAACTCTATTTTCCCATGAAAGAATTCTTCCCATGAAAGAATTTAATGTACATAAGTATGCAAAGGAAATTTTCATTATAGTGCTCATTAATTATATTATAAAATAGCTAAATGCTCTCTTATTCAAGCCTACTCAGAAGTAAGTCCATGATTTCTAACTCAATCTATAAACAGTCAGTGATCTACATTAATAAAGGAGAAGGATGCAAAAAATAAACACGCTCAAATTGCCTTCAATACACAAATTAGGATTTAGAAGATTCAGGGTCCACCTTTTGTGTAACTTTCTGTGAATCTCTTTTTCAGTACCCATCCTGTACCACAAAGTTGTTGTTATTCTGAGGATAAAAATGAAAGAGGAAGTGTCAGAATGCCATACTGAGTTCCTAGGTGAAAGGCAGGAGAATAAATGAATAAACAAGAAATTATGGTTTGGTCAACTACAAAATATAACAAAATAGTAATAGTAATAAGATTTATATAACACTTCACAGTGGTTTAGTTTACCCTTTCTAAGCAGTTTACAGAGTCAGCATATTGTCCCTAATCTGGGTCCACATTTTACTGACCTCGAAAGGTTGGAAGGCTGAGTCAACCTTGAGTCGGTCAGAATCAAACTGCTGACAGTCAGCAGAATTAGCCTGCAATATTGCATTCTAACCACTGCACCACCATAGCTCAAAGTGAAAAATACATGAAAAGTGTCTCCAAATATCACTATAAAAATAATATGACAGTTTTAGAACCATCTATAGAAAGACTGTACTTTGGTGACTGAACAGTTGAATGTGGATTACGGAGACCCGAATTCAAGCCCTTACTTGATCATGGAGCTTTCTGTATGACTTTGCACAAATCATCATCTTTCAACCTTTATGTGGCTGCTATGGGGATAAAAGTAGGAGGAATCCTCTTATGTAGTGCCTTGCATTCCTAGAGAATCCATACTCTATAAGGATTTAATTATAATTATATTTGATTTCACAAAAACTTTTGAGTCTGGTGTAGAAACAAACTAATAATTTCAACAGCTGAATCAAAATAGAAATAATATGCTTCTTAGGATCCAGCTCAGGAAATGAATAACTACGGCAGTTTGGACTGCAATTTCAAATAATCTTAAAATGCAATTCCAAGTAAAGTGTGCTGAGAGAAATTACTAAAAACACATGTGGTAGCACTCATCATTCTTAGAAAGCTATGAATAAAGCTGACTAACAAAGGCCATTTCTGCTATTGTCTCAGATGATCTAACTTCACTTCTTAGGCTAAGTATCTATCAAAGGCAGTAAAGATAATCGATATAAACTGGTCCACCATCAATAAACTTTTTTACTTTTCGGCATTAAATGTCAGGTCCTAGATCTCGCTCAGCCTTTAGACATAACCAACCTTTCATTCAGAGTCTTGGATGTAACGAAAGAAAAGTTGCTCAGTGATTGTTGACACTGCACTCTAGACTGATGAAAAATCTTCCTAACTTCATGTAGAGATGAAAGTATTCAGGGCACATATGAACTCTTACCGAGCAAAGTTTAGGAAATTTAAGCAGAATCACTAGTGCTACTCTCCGACACTAAGACGGGGTGGGGAACTATGGCCCTTTCATTACCTGTGGACTTCAACTTCCAGAATTCTGAGAGTTAAAGTCCACTAGTCATAAAGGGACCTCTGCACTAAACCATCAGATAAGGAAAGAAGCACTTCTAAATCTCTCTCTTCTCAAGGGTGCCTGGTGATCCAAGTGATTTTGATGGTTCGATGATTCTTCTAAAAGTATCTAAAATCTCCACTCCAGTTTATACAAAGTCTTTTTTTTTTTTTGGCTTCCATTTTTTTTTCCATTTCCAGAGCAATTTTCTCATTGCATTTTGGATCTGGGATAAGAGAATTCTCTTATGATGTCTTTATCTGGTATTTAATGGAAGTATGCGAACACAGGACGCTCACAGACATTAAAAAAAAACATTAGTATGATACCACTGTACTCCATTCATGGAAATTTCACCAATTATCCTTCTCCTCCTCCTCCTCCCCCTCCTCCTCTTCAGAATTTTTTTCTCCACAGCACTAATTTCCATAATCCTGTGGTTCTTCAAAGCTTCAGAACAGCTTCAAATTACCTAGAAAGAGGAATTAAGCTTCTTTTCTATGATTTACCTCAATCCTGAATGGATGGTATGCAGAAAATCTCATTCCCTGTCTCTCTGTTTTCATAACAGGTATGTCTGAGTGTCTAGTGCAATATATTGTTTTACAGTACACCATAAGAATAGGAAACTATATATTTAGTTTCCTCTTCCATCCCATTTTGCATAGGTTAGTTTTGTTTTTGCCCCTGCCTCTTGAATGTTGATCTTGTTTGTCAGGGTAAGTTTTACTTATGTTCACTTAAAGAAGGATGGTTCAGTACATACAACTTTGTACTGATATACCTTATTATTCCTCCTCCTCCCTCCCCTCTCCCCCTCTTCTTCCTCCTCCTCCTCTTTTTCCCACAATAACAACCCCGTGAGGGCTGAAAGAGTGTGACTGGCCCAAAGTCACCCAGCTGACATTCATGCCTCAGGCAGGACTAAAACCCATAGTCTATTGATATGCTTACCACCTTGAAATACTTATAAAGTAATAAAAGTGGGATAAAAATATAATAAATAAATAAATACTTATATGAGTAGATAGTAATCATATTGTAACAGTGTGGCATATGGAAATATATCTGAAGTAGTCGACCACTAAATACTTAGCTATAAAAGTATGCTGTAAACCTCTCCTGTATCCAAATTGTCTAGTACATTTTTCCTACCTTGGAAAGATGTTTCAAATCAGATCCATCATTCTCTCTGAGGTTACATGGTTCTCATAGTAGTTCTTCTAGGAAGCAGGCCAAAACCACTAGGAGGTTCATAAACAAAACAAGGGAGAGAAGTTTTAGTTGTTTCTTTCTTTCTTTTTTTTAAAAGCAGCCTTGCAATAATTTTCATCAAGGAAATAAATTTAGCATATCCATAGTAATTCTGAAAATAGAAAACAAGAAACCTCTTTAGTATTCAAAGAGAAGAAGAAAAGAAATGGAAACACATGAAACAAATTGGAAGATGAAAGCTAATAAAAGTAAATGAAAGGAAAACCTTTCTCGCTCTTGACTCCTCACCCCATTTTACTGCGTGCTTTTTGTTATTATGTTGGCCTAAAAGCAGCAAAAAGTCAAATGAAGATAATTTTAAACTGCAATTTGTTCATCAATTTAAGACTTGTAAATTTGTGGGAATAATAAAAGCATTGTCCAGAAATGGGCATGACCACAAAGTAATACTGTACATTTTTTAACAGTGTGGTCTGTATGTCTCACATGATACATTGTTGAAATGAAATATGAGCAGACCTTAAAATTCCTGCATAAAAACAATTGTCTGGAAGCCATTTTGAGCACCCAATGAAGAGGAGAGTATGACTAACAAGTAAAGTCAACTGTGAAGGTTACTCTAACACCAACAGATATAGCATATTGAATTTCTATCTTATCTATATCTCTATTTGTGGCATAGGTTTAAAGAACCAGGGCTGTACACTGTTCCACTGTCCCTAGGAGTTGCATCCCCCAACTGTAGGCTAACCACAACAAATCTGGATAACAAAAATCTTGATGACCATTTATGTCAGAAGAGGGAGGGAGGAAGGGAGAGAAAAAGAGAGAGAGAGAGAGAGAGAAAGAGAGAGAGAGAGATCTAAATATACTGGCATCTGAAAGTTATCCAAGGGTTTGGAGGCCTGAAACAATAACATCACCCCCTACAAAACATCTCCATGGTAACAGCTGACACAAGACTTGAGAAAATGGTTCTGCAAACATCCTTATCATGTAGTGGCATGTATAAAGGCAAGTGCTTGTGAGTAAATAGTCATTTGCAGAAAGTTGTGCCTAAAATGCAGAAGGAAGGGCTGCCCAGGATATGAACCTAAAGGAGGTGTGAGAAGTACTGGCCTGAGGAGAGTGGCCTTCCCATGACTAATGCAGAGGCAACCCTGAGTTATTCATGGGCAAATAGGTCAGATCATTCTAACTTGTGACCTGCAAGCCAAAGGCAACCTATCTGGTCAGGTACCTGGCTTCTCTGTGGTTTGCCTAATACCTTATTTCTGTATATTCAGATAAGAGTGGGCATATCTGAAAACATAAAAGGGGATGCAATGGCTCAGATATTAAAGATACTGAGTGTTAAGTCCTCACCGCTACGACGCAGGCAGAAGACTGCCTTGTTACTGCCCTGCCGTGATTGGTTAAAGCGCACTGGGCTAGTAAGCGGGAAAAGCGGAGCTGCGTGATTGGCTGTTCTCTAGACTGGTTGTTATTTAAGGAGCTGTCAAATCTTTCGTTCCTTGTTCCGAGGCACCGGTTGTGCCGTTCTTGTTATTAATAAAGAATTTGTTGCCTAGCCTTGTCTCCACGCCTAGTTCTTCAAATAGAACATTGGCGACAAAGGTGGGATACTAAGGCGATGGCTGGACAGTACGTATTTCAGCCACCTACGACCACCGACCATGTCGACGTTCTTGCCAGTGTTTTCCCCGTTCGTGCCAGCTACCGAAACATGGGACACTTACATGGAACGCTTTGAGTGTTTCCTTCAGGCGAACGCGCTGACTGATCTTTCTAGCGCTCGCAAACGAGGCTATTTCCTCAGTTCCTGTGGGAGTGAGATATTCGGCACGGCCAGGGCTTTAGCAGCCCCACAGCAAGTTTTCGATGTTCCCTGGGAGACGTTGTTGGACAGGCTGAAGAACCATTTTTCCCCTGCCCCATCCCGTATTGCGCGCCGGCATGCCTTTTGGCAGCGTGCACAAACTGAGGGAGAGTCAGTGAACGACTATATGGCGTCCCTGCGGGCAGCTGCGATCCACTGCGATTTTAGGGACCTGGATGACATGCTGCTGGATCAGTTGGTCTGCGGAATCAAAGACCTAAAACTACAACGGCGTCTCCTGGCACGGTCTGAACTGACCCTGCAGGTAGCCCTGGATGAAGCTAGGGCTGCTGAAATGTCAGGCCGTTCGGCCGCCGAAATCCAACGATTCCAGGCTTCCGTTGCTGCCGCCTCAAAACCCCTGACAGTCCATTATGAAGAGGACCTAGCTGACTCCTCCGATGAAGAGGGAGAAGTGAGCCGCCTCAGGGCAACCCGACGGAAGCTGGGGACGTCCAACAAGCCCAAACAGCTTGCCCAGGGCAATTGTTTGGGTTGTGGCGGCAACCATCGCAGAGCCGACTGCAGATTCAAGACAGTCGTTTGCCGCCGCTGCGGAAAAAGGGGTCATCTATCGAGGGTCTGCAGAGCGCCTACTCCTATGCCTGAGACCGCGACCGCCCTGCTGAATGATCGACGCCGGGGCCGGAAGGCTGCTGTTCGACGCGATGAGTGTTTTGCCGTGACCCGCTACGAGGAGCCACGGGATGTTGCTGTGAGCCACGCCAGCTCTGTTTCCTCAACCAACAAGCTTTTCCTCACGGTAGTTTTGGAGGGAGCGGCTTGTCGCATGGAGGTCGACACCGGCTCCTCCAAGTCCCTCATAGCGTGGTCCACTCTTACCAAACTACTGCCAGGGGTGTCCCGACACCGGCTCAAGCCGTGCCCAGTCCTTTTAAAGGACTATCAAGGGAAGACCATCTCCACTTTGGGATATGGCACCTTTCAGGTGTCCTACCAGTCCTTCTCCGGCAGGTTGCCGTTAATTGTGGTGAAGGACAAATTACCAACATTGCTCGGACTAGATTGGTTTGCCGCCTTAAACTTAACCATTTCCGGCGTGCATTCATTATCCCTTGATATTTCATCCATTCTGGCCCGCGAGTTTGCTGATGTTTTCTCTGATCAATTGGGCAAATACATGGGCCGGCCCATATCATTTACTTTAGACCCCCAGGTGATGCCAGTTCGCCTCAAACCAAGAAGGGTGCCGCTAGCGTTGAGGCCACGGGTGGATAAGGAGCTGGATAAGCTCATAGCCCAAGGTATTCTGGTTCCCATTGACCATTCTAGTTGGGAGACCCCAATCGTCATTCCCTTGAAGCAGGATGGATCCATTAGGATCTGCGCCGACTATAAGTGCTCCATAAATAGGGCGTTACAGGCCAACCCCTACCCGGTGCCGGTGGTGCAGCACCTGCTGCACTCGCTGGGTCACGGCCGGGTGTTTGCTAAGCTGGACCTGGCCCAAGCTTATCAACAACTCCCCGTTGATGAGCCTATGGCCATGGCCCAGACTATAGTCACCCACCGAGGTGCATTTAAATGCACCCGGCTTCAGTTTGGTGTTAGTGTGGCCCCGGGAATTTTCCAAATCATCATGGAACGATTGCTACAAGGAATTCCCGGGGTAGTACCTTATTTTGATGACGTACTGGTCTCCGCTAGAGACCAGTCCGATCTCCTTGCCAAGCTGCGGGCCGTCTTGACCCGTTTGCGCGGCGCCGGCCTCCACCTCAAAATACAAAAATGCGTCATTGGGGTGCCTCAGGTGGAGTTCCTGGGGTTCCTCATTGACGCCCAAGGGATCCACCCCACTCCGTCAAAGATAGCGGCCATTAAGCACGCCCCCGCACCCACATGCAAGGCGGAGCTGCAGGCATTCTTAGGGCTCCTAAACTTTTATTCTGTGTTCCTCCCACATAAGGCTACATTGGCCGAGCCCCTGCACCGCCTCCTCGATTCAAAGACGCCCTGGGCATGGAGTCGCTCTGCTGCCGCGTCATTTCAGGCTGTCAAAGACGCTCTGACGTCACGGGCTGTGCTCGTCCAATACGATGCCAGCCTTCCCTTGTCCTTGACTTGCGACGCCTCGCCTTATGGTTTAGGCGTGGTTTTAAGCCATATTCTACCATCGGGTGTCGAAGCCCCGGTCGCTTTCTATTCTAGAACATTGTCTGCCCCAGAGAGAAATTATAGTCAGCTGGACCGCGAGGCCCTGGCGATGGTCACCGGGGTCAAGCGGTTTCACGACTATCTCTATGGCCGGCCCTTCACCCTGGTCACCGACCATAAACCCCTGTTAGGTCTTCTCTCTGGGGACAGACAAACGCCTATCATTCTCTCGCCCCGCATGTCGCGCTGGGCTGAGTTCCTGGCTGCTTACACTTACCACCTTGTACACCGGCCTGGCTCGGCCATCGGACATGCCGATGGCCTCAGCTGTTGCCCAATACCAGCCTCCGACACTGACCCAGCTCCCACAATGTCGGTCCTCCTCATTGAGGACTTCGACTTTCCGATTACTGCTTCAGACATTAGTGCAGGGTCAGCTAAGGACCCTACCATTTCCCTAGTGTTAGACTGGGTCCGCCGGGGTTGGCCTAAGAGACCTGTACTGGCCGAACTTATTCCCTACCTCCGCAGACAACACGAGCTCTCCACCCTTAAGGGCTGTCTCCTGTGGGGCAACAGGGTTGTTATTCCTCCAGAATTACGCCGCCCCGTTCTAGCCCACCTCCATAACTCACACCCGGGCATTGTCCGAATGAAGGGCCTGGGCCGCAGCTATGTGTGGTGGCCCGGCCTGGACGGCGAGATCGAACAGTGGGTAGCCACTTGCCCCCAATGCCAACTATCCAGGCCAGCTCCTCCGGCGGCCCCAGTTCGGGAATGGGAGGCTCCCCGGGCCCCTTGGGCACGCATCCACATGGACTTTGCCAGTCCATTCCAGGGACACACATTCCTAGTGGTCGTAGACGCCCACTCTAAGTGGGTGGAGCTGGCCGACATGACAACAACAACAATGGAGGCAGTCATCAGGGTTTTAGAGGGCCTGTTCGCGACGCACGGCCTGCCCGATACCATAGTTACCGATAACGGGCCCCAATTCACATCGGCACCTTTCAAGCGGTTTGTGGCCAAGCTGGG